TAAGTAAGGGTAGAATTGTACTTTTAAGTGCTAAAATGGCTAGATTTCATTGTTTTACAAAAAGTGGCTATATTTCATTTTTTACTTCAAAAAATGGCTAGAAAACCGCCCCACTGAATTTCAATCCTAGACAGTACATAAGTCCTCATGTACCATCTTGTGTGTCTTCTTCTTTGCTGCGTTTGCTTGATACTTTGTTATATCCAACTGACAATCTCTTCATGCTGGCTTCAGTTGTTGGATAAAAAACGTTTTTTGGTTAAAATTTCTTGGGAAGATGTCTGATGTGTTTGTTTGGGTAGAAAATTTTGTTGCTTACAAAAAATTATGAAGATGGGTAATTGTGGAACTCCTTGTAGAACATATTGGTCAAAATGATTGATGGGTTGGGGTTTATATACTAATTTTTGTTGGCTTGCAAAGAATCAGTTTCTGAAGTTAATGTGTAATTTAATTCAATTGCTTACATCAAGGAATTCTTTCTTAAAATCTGGTAATTGATATAGGAAATATATTTACTGCTGAATTATTACATAGGAGTGAAATAAGTAATGAAACAAATAGGAGATAAATCTTTATCTATTTTATTATTATTATTATATATATTATATTTGTCATATATATATATATATTATACTTAAATGACAGAAATAAAATTATGCTTGGCTGAAGGGATTTTTATTGATAAAGAATGTTTTGAACACAAAAAAAAAATATGCATGGCTGTGGTGTTTTATTCAGTTTCTGTTTTACTTAGAAAACATTTTGAACATTGAAAAAATGCTCGGGTTTGATTAAGTATTCAGATTTTAATCTTTAATAAGATGATTGGCTGAAAATGTTTTACGGTTGATTAATTTTTCAGATTTTAAGTTCTCTGAATTGCTTGGATGAGGGTGTTTGATGTTTATTAAGTATTCAGATTCTAATTCAGTAGCTGTTTGATAATTAGTCAGCTTGATAATTACTGTTTTAAAATCTACATCCCATTATTTTTCTCATCTCATATCTCAAATAATAATTTAATATAATTAACCCATTTTTTTTGTCAATCAAAGAATCATAATCCCATGATTGTTTCTCATCTCATAACTACTAATAAAAATTGAATATTAAATGTTCAATATTTTTGGCGAAAATCTTACAACTTAAATATAAACTAAATATTAAATATCCTATTTTTTCATGCAATTTCATTATTATATTAACAATTAAATATATAATATGGCTGGTCAAAGCATAAATACAATTTGCTTAAATTTGTCAATCAATCATTTATTTAAATTGTAATCATCATTTAAATTAATTTATTAATTCATTAACTTAAATCCTTTTGCTTATTCCCAAATCCTATATAAGTAGCCAAAAAAGACAACATTCACTCACTCCAATCCATACACTATTCCATCAGCACCTACACGAGCCCAAAGACAAAATTTTTCTAGATTCAAAATTCCCAAAAACAAAATGATTTCACACTTTGAAAATTTAACTTACTTGGCCAAAAAAACAGAAAAATGGCTGCAAAGCTGAGGTTGGTTAGATACTTCCCCAAGTTCTACAAGTCGAGCAAGGATAGCGTTAGGGAGCTAGAATTCGTATTTCATGATGTTAAGGTATTTAATTTTTTTTTTTT